AGCATGGATGTTTAACTATATATGCATCTATTTGTTAGCAAAGGCTGTAGGAAAGTATAGTTTGTCCTTATTTAGAAAATATGGATTTTGTGCTCCTTCCTGTAGATTTACTCTGAGGTTCTGGCTCTTATCCACTTTTGGCCACCACTCAGTGTATAGTGGTTATTCACTGGCCACCAATATTTAAATATTTTGGCTACGCCTCTGCTTAAGTGGAAAAGTTTTAGTTTCACTTGATTTGATAAAAAAAAATAAAAAATACTCCTTTAAAGAACATTTTGCTATCCGAGTATTAATTGATTAATAAAAAACAAATAATATTTGACAGATTAATTGATTAGCAAAATAATCGTTAGTGAAGCCCTAAGTTTGAATTAAAAAAATAATAATTATTGCATCATTGCCTAATTTCTTTAAAAAAAAAACGAATCCTCACCATATATTTTTTAGGAAATGATATTTACTCTACACCCTGTTCCCACTGGTAAACCACAGCATCAGCTTAAATACTATCCCAAACCCTCATCGTCTTGATGCAGGCCGTTTCTCAATTCACAAGAACGTGAGTACAGACTTCTGTTCTCGCCAAGTATGTTCTTGAGAAGAACAGAGGAAAGTGTGGACTCTAGGGGAAAGGGAGCATGTAGAATAAATATGGGGCAATTGGAACAGAGGCGTCCTGATGACATCACCACACGCTCAGCTCGTCTGGAGCTGCATTTAACCTCCTGCTGTTAATAGTAAATGATTAGTGTTTTCATTCAGTGGGAGAATAATAACTAAGAATATAAAAAACTGCCATCAGACGGATATGCAGAGAGAGGGCTGCTACAGAGGGGCTAACGTTAGCCTCCCTGTAGCAGCCCGGGCTAACTTTAGACCATTAGCTCTGGATGCTGTTAGCCTCGGAGGGTCCGCTGACTGCCACGGTCCTTTCAACATCCAAACTTTTTTTAAATTGAGCAATAAATCAGTAAACGGGCCGTATGGTGAAGCTTAAAGTATAATATTCTTGCCTCAAAAGATCTTAAAACGTACTTTTATAGAACAACGGCAACAAAAACTTTTAACTTAACCCACTGTTAAGTTAAATGGAAGCTGCTGCTGCCGCAGTGCATGCTGGGACAGCTATCCATCTCGAGAACAGACAAGTCTGCTCTATTGCATGCTGGGTAAAGAGGGAGGGGCGAGAACCCCATCTAGGGACTTTGTCCGTTCTGCGTCTTCTTGTTCTTGTAAACTGAAACAGTACCAGGGCTGATGTTGCACTATGTAACATATTGAGAAACATACGGAAGAGGATTAGGGCCACTAAAAAAAAAAAGTTTACTGATTTTTATAATTTATTTCAGTTTAATATGGGAATAAAGTCAGAATTCTGAGATTAAAGTCAGAATTCTGACTTTAATGTCAGAATTTAGAATCTTAAAGTAGATGGGCAACATGAAGGAAGAGATGTGGGAGCACTCAGCTTCACTGACAAAGATGAGATTTGTTGGAGATGGCCAGTAACAAATTGGTGGAAAATGACGGAATTAGGCAACTTTTTACGTGCCCGACGGGTCCCCTCATTATTGGAGGAGCAGAAGGTCATTAAAACAAGGGAGCTACTCTCTAAAACATACGTGGCTATGGCTTGATGCTAACATGTTTGTTAGCTGTCAGAATTCTGAGAAAAAAGTCAGAATTCTGAGATTAAAGTCAGAATTCTGAGACTCAAAATTCTGAAAAGTGAGAATTCTGAGAAAAAAGTGAGAATTCTGAGATTAAAGTCAGAATTCTGAGAAAAAAGTCAGAATTCTCAGATTAAAGTCAGAATTCTGAGATTAACATCAGAATTCTGAGAGAATCAAAATTCTGAAAAGTCAGAATTCTGAGATTGAAGTCAGAATTCTGAGAGAAAAGTGAGAAATCTGAAATTAAATTCAGAATTCTGAGAAAAAAATTGGGAATTCTGAGATTAAAGTCAGAATTCTGAGATTAACGTCAGAATTCTGAGAAAATCAGAATTCTAAAAAGTCAGAATTCTGAGATTAAAGTCAGAATTCTGAGATTAACGTCAGAATTCTGAGAAAATCAAAATTCTAAAAAGTCAGAATTCTGAAATTAAATTCAGAATTCTGAGAAAAAAGTGAGAATTCTGAGAAAAAAGTCAGAATAAACTGAAATAAAATTTAAAAATCAGCTAACTTTTTTTTATAGAGTGGCCCTAATCCTCTTCCATAGAAACGGCCACTGTCTTATCCAGATTTTTATTTTTTTTTTATCAAAAACAAAAAGACTGTCAACTATTTGACTCTGTGTGTGATTTTACCTGTACGGTAAAAATGGAAGCAGAAGAAGAACTTGCCACACTGCCCATATCCAGGAAAGTAAGTGGGCAGACCTACGGGGCTTATAACCACTGCAGTGAAAGTCTGAAGCATGGCATCATTCTGAGGCTAAAACCTGATCACGCTGTGCTGTCAGCGCTCCAACCGTCTTGGCGTTGAGGTTGCGATGTGTACCGCAGCTCCAAACAGCAGGATCACGTCAAACTGCCACCAACAATACACGCTCTCCTTCAAACATTATTTACTATTCCACACTCATCTGTTCTTCAGTCACCTTTTTTGAAGCAAGGCGAGATTAACTCACGCTGATGACAGCTGGTTCTGCTGAACAGGGAAAGACAAGGACACAGGCAGAAGGGACGCCTTGAAGAAAACTATTTCACTTCCAGCCTCTTCTGTGACTCATAAGCTAAAGAAAGTAGCTTTATTTTCCATGAAACTTAAAATAATAAATTAGTCCAAGAAACCTCCCATCTACATAAAAAAATTCTAAAGATTTTTGAAAGGTTGTTGCAAACCATAAGGACACTGTGAACAAGGATCTGCTTGTACTACCGGACAAAAAGACATTCATACGTCAGCCACGTCCACTTCTAATTTAAAGGCACACATGGAGTTAAAACATCCGAGCTATCTTGGGAAATATCTGCTACTGAATGAGGAACATAAGAAATCATTTGGATCCAGATCTTTTCAGCAGAACCTGAATGTTCCTGTATGATTCTGAAGTTTTGTGTATTCTCTGCACATCTGTATACCTGAACTGCATCCAGGATTTCGCTTTTGTATCTATGCTTCTTTTTCTATGTCTGCTTCCGTCTCCTTGAACCCCAGTCGGCCTCAGCAGATGGCCGCTCACACTGAGCCTGGTTCTGCTGGAGGTTTCTTCCTGTTCAAAGGGAGTTTTTCCTCTCTACTGTCGCTACAAGCATGCTTAATGTGAGGGATTGCTGAGTTGATGCAATCAACTCTTTTCCTTAGATGGAAAACTTTGAATCAATCTGACTGGATGATCTGGTTGAACTGGAAAGTGCCTTGAGATGACGTGTGTTAATTGTTAATTGTTCAAATATATCTGTCATTTGTGTGTTTTTAGCTTTTTTCCTGTATGGGAAGCTTTTCAAAATTTGAAACATTAGTGCAGTGGTTTATGTTCAAATAAACCTTTGGGTTAAGTTGTCACAAGCAGGTTTTTCTTGTGTTTCTTGTGAATTTGGTCTTAAATTTTTATTTCAATTGGCATTAAAAAGTCTTAAAAAGTCTTGAATTTAACTTGCCTTTGTATCAATTTGACTGGATGATCTGGTGAACTGTAAAGTGCCTTAAGATGGTTGTGAATTGGCGCTATAGAAATAAACTGAATAGAAATTAAGTTATTTCTATATATTATGATCACGCATTTAAAGGCTGAAATATGAGGTTGTATTGTGGAGGATCTGAGCTTCATTTACCAAAGGAACTGGAATTGGTTCATTTAAAGGTTTGTGAAAAAGTGAACTATGAACTGGTTCATTTTAATCTGCTTTTACTGAACTTTGAAGTCATTCTTTTTAACTATGAACTGAAACAACATTGGTGGCACCTACACCTAACATGAAGATGGGATTACATCCTGTATCCACTATGGCTCTTAAGGCATATAAAAGACAGCTATGATTTCAAAGTAATTGACAACACGCCGGCTTAATATTCCAGGAGTTTATCCGGGTAACTGTGCCGTCTGCAATGCAGCGCTAACGATGACAGCCTCTGAGAGAACAACCGTTTAATTGTCTTCACTTTATCCCCCAGTTGACATTGGGCCGCCCTTGGCCTCATCGCTGCAGCTCCACATGCCAGCATGCATATGGTTGTCATGACGCAAACCACATCCAATACATCTTCTCCAGGATCATAGCTCGCACGCTTATTCAGCTGATTGGCTAGATTTGTCTAATGCCTTCTAAATAAATATATATTCAGAATACTGAAATGAAAAACACTGAATGTTTAAAGAAAATGTGGCTTGATGCTGAGAAGAAGACAGGTATAGTTATCCACATATAGAACTTGCACATTCAGCAAGAGCTCTAATACTCTATTTGCAGCCATCTTTTGATCCCGCCAATGTGAGCATGGCCTTTTGGGCCAACTGTGTTTCATGGATGCTCGAGCATGAAAGAGGAATCTCGTTGAGCGGATCCATAGAAATAATGAATAAAAAGGGATTTAGAGTCTGTCACTGCAAAACACAGCATTTTAATTACAGCAAACTCCCATGAGACCAAGCAGCACACAGTCTTTAGGTACTCCTCTCAGTCTGCATCGTTGCTAAGCTAATAACGTTTGCTGCTGCAGTGCTGACACACACATTCAATTAATCTGGTTAATATTCATGGAGGAAATATCATGGATCATATCAGGCTACACCCATTAATGTTAATTGGGCATCATTACGGGGGCTTGTGTAGGAGAGGGTTTCAAAATGAAACTGTCAACCGTCAGGGTGAGAATGTGTGATGCTCTGTGAGCCGGAGCAAAGTGCATGCTCCTCACAGCCACACTTTCTGTAAACTCTACACAGGCTGCAGGGAGCAAGTTTTTATATTTCTGTGTTTTCATACAAAAGAACTGAGACACAAAGAATCTTCCCTAAAGGAAGCAGCAATATCAGTTTATCAGCCTCACCTGCTTGACCGGTAGCGATGCTGACCGCCGCAAACAGCCTCTGCGTCCGGCTCAGGTCAGACACTCCGTTGACAGCTTCCACCTCGAAGGTGTAGTTGGCGTGAGCGAGGAGGTCCGTGACGCTTACATAAGTGTCCACTAATCCCGACTGTGCAGGAGAGTATCCCACGTTCGGACCGCATGGTTCGCATTCCTCAGACTCCCAGCGGCAGCTTCGGCATATCACCCTGTAGGTGACATCATTCCGCCCGCCAGCGTCGGCCGGCGGGCTCCACTCTAGATTAACGGTGGTCTGGTTGATGTTGTAGACCAGGTTCTGTGGCGCCGAGGGAGGTCCTGTCAAAGGTGGACACACATAGGAAGCCAGATTTAGATAAGTGAGCGCCAAGAGAAGTGACAGCCAAGTGTGTGCATGGACTGGATATGTTCTCTGAGAAGGGAAAAAAAAAAGCTGCAGGACATGCCAGCTCCAGCCCCAGAGCCAAACACTGACACTCAATTATAATAAGAGTCAGAGCCAGAAAAAAGCCTGTGCAGGTAGTGACAGAGTAAGCTGAGGCAGGTACCAAGGTCAGTGGGAGAACGCAGAGGAGTGCAGACTGAATACACTTTACAATCAGAGTTTAGGCATCATTGTTTATACAGTTTATTATTAATTCAGTGAAAGTAAAAAAACATAAATGGTCCCCTCCTATTTATTCTTATTGCACCATAAACAATTCATAGGATGGAGTTTCAAAAATAAATTGATTATAAAAGTATACACCAGGAGACTTTTAATACAGGTGCTGGTCATAAAATTAGAATATCACGAAAAAGTAGATTGATTTCAGTAATTCCATTTAAAAAGTGAAACTTGTATATTATATTCATACATTACATACAAACTCATATATTTCAGATGTTTATTTTGTTTAATTTTGATGATTACAAATGACAACAAATGAAAATCTCAAATTCATCATATCAGAAAATTAGAATATTACTGAAGACCAATAAAAACAAAGGATTTATAGAAATGTTGGCCAACTGAAAAGTATGAACATGAAAAGTATGAGCATGTACAGCACTCAGTATTTAGTTGGGCCTCCTTTGGCCTGTATTACTGCAGCAATGCGGCGTGGCATGGAGTCGATCAGTCTGTGGCACTGCTCAGGTGTTATGATAGCCCAGGTTGCTCTAATAGTGGCTTTTAGCTCTCCTGAATTGTTGGGTCTGGTGTATTGCATCTTCTTCTTCACAATACCCCATAGATTTTCTATGGGGTTAAGGTCAGGAGAGTTTGCTGGCCAATTAAGAACAGGGATACCATGGTCCTTCAACCAGGTACTGGTAGCTTTGGCACTGTGTGCAGGTGCCAAGTCCTGTTGGAAAATGAAATCTGCATCTCCAAAAAGTTGGTCAGCTGCAGGAAGCATGAAGTGCTCTAAAACTTCCTGGTATGTGGCTGCGTTGACCCTGGACCTCAGAAAACACAATGGACCAACACCAGCAGATGACATGGCACCCCAAACCATCACTGACTGTGGAAACTTTACACTGGACTTCAAGCAACGTGGATGAAGTGCCTCTCTTCTTTTCCTCCAGACTCTGGGACCTTGATTTCCAAAGGAAATGCAAAATTTACTTTCATCAGAGAACATGACTTTGGACCACTCACCAGCAGTCCAGTCCTGTTTCTCTTTAGACGCTTCTGACGCTGTCTGTGGTTCAAGAGTGGCTTGACACAAGGAATGCGACAGCAGAAACCCATGTCTTTCATACGTCTGTGTGTGGTGGTTCTTGAAGCACTCACTCCAGCTGCAGTCCACTCTTTGTGAATCTCCCCCACATTTTTGAAGGGGTTTTGTTTCACAATCCTCTCCAGGGTGCGGTTATCTCTCTTGCTTGTACACTTTTTTCGACCACATCTTTTCCTTCCCTTCGCCTCTCTATTAATGTGCTTGGACACTGAGCTCTGTGAACAGCCAGCCTCTTTAGCGATGACCTTTTGTGTCTTGCCCTCCTTGTGCAAGGTGTCGATGGTCGTCTTTTGGACAACTGTCAAGTCAGCAGTCTTCCCCATGATTGTGTAGCCTATAGAACTAGACTGAAAGACCATTTAAAGGCTTTTGCAGGTGGTTTGAGTTAATTAGCTGATTAGAGTGTGGCACCAGGGGCCATCAATTTTGAACCTTTTCACAATATTCTAATTTTCTGATATGATGAATTTGAGATTTTCATTTGTTGTCATTTGTAATCATCAAAATTAAACAAAATAAACATCTGAAATATATGAGTTTGTATGTAATGTATGAATATAATATACAAGTTTCACTTTTTAAATGGAATTACTGAAATCAATCTACTTTTTCATGATATTCTAATTTTATGACCAGCACCTGTAATAGGGTCACTTTCCCTTTACTATCAATCAATCCTAATGTAATATACAGACAGCAGGTGCCCAAAGTGCTTTATAAAATACGTAAAGTCACAATGTTCAGTAGAAAACAGTCAAATCCAAAGGAATCAAAGTGTCTCATTGCTGGGTATTAAAATCCAGCCTGAACAGACGCTGGTGAAGATTCTCAGTCATGCAGGTTATAGTCGTTCCAAAAAAAGTTTTTAAAAAAATAATCCACTGGACTTTGTTTAAACTAATTCCAGTTGATTGTTTTTTTTTACTTTTTTTGAAGAGCCTGAACAGATGTGTCTTCAGTTTGGCCCTAAAAAGAGCGACATCTGGAACAGTGTGAATATCTGAGGGTAAATTGCTCTCAGCGCGGCAACTGCAAAAGTCTCTAACCTTCTGCTCTCTCTGCTTTTTCTCATAGTAGCTTCATCTGGTCTGTTCCTGTTTGGCTGTGACTCCATCCTGGAGAGAAATATCAGCTGTGCTGCTGCCATCAACACCTTTGTTTATAGATGTTGGAGATCGGTCTGTTTTTCAGTGTAGTCCTGTTTCTCTGACTGTGACTAACTGGATGTGCTCTCTTCATCCTCTGACATGGGAGCTGGCTCGAAGCTCGTCTGCCTGGCTGTGTGTTTCCTTTTTTATCTCTGCTTCTTTTTCTATGTTTGCTTCTGTCTCCTTAAACCCCAGTCGCTCTCAGCGAAGGTTTATTCCTGTTCAAAGGGAGTTTTTCCTCTCCAATGTCGCTACAAGCATGCGTAGTGTGAGGGACTGCTGTAAAGTCAATGAGTCGATGCAATCAGCTGGTTTTCCTTAGATAGAAAACTTTGAATCAATCTGACTGGATGATCTGGTGAACTGGAAAGTGCCTTGAGATGACATGTGTTGGGAACTGGTGCTATAGAAATAAACTGAATTGAATTGATCACCTCCCCCTTCATACCTTAACTGTGGCATTTCTCAAACCAGCTGACTTGAAGATGACCGGTTGTGCTCCTGCATATTTCAAATTTAGGACAAATACTTTGTAGCGAGACGATTTAAAGCCTGAAAACAAACAATAAAACCTCAAAATCTATTTTAAAAAAGCATAGCGAGCCAATGCAGGGTGCAGAGAACGGGGACGGTCCAAAGGCCATCCTAGTGTGACTCATATTTAGGATGCACAGACTAGAGTACGAGCTCCAAGGCCAACACAGTACCTGAATGAGAGAAAGTACCCTCAGTGGTTTATAAACATGCATGTTGAACAGCAAATGTTGAGCTATAAAAGGCAATGCTTTAAGCACAACTCTACTATCATAGTTCTGCTCTCAGTATTAGAAATAGAACCTCAATTGTTAAAATGTTAAAATAGAGGCAACAATTCTAAAAAAAGAAAATTAAAAGCATTTAACTGGACTTTGTTTCCAAGTTTGAAGACGTTCCTCTTCCCATCCAGGAAGGTTTTTAATTTAAAATGTCAGAAATAGCTTTGAGTTCGAGGTTTTATACAGTAGCCAAGGGGGTGGAGCTCTTCGTCCACTTTGTTGGGCTACTTTATAAAACCTGGGACTCAACACTATTTCTGACATTTTAAATTAAAAAACCTTCCTGGATGGGAAGAGAAACGTCTTTAAACTTGGAAACAAAGTCCAGTGGATTGATTTTAATTTTCCTTTTTTGAATTTTTCACCAGCGTAGAGCCAATAATGTTGCAATTGTTGCTACATATTTTTTGACCATATTCAATTGAAGGAATAGTATTTCTTCTAAAAAAGTAATCTTTCAACGAAGTTGTATAAAATATCAGTGGTTTCTAAGGACAGATAAATGATTAAAACCAAAAAAAAATTAAAACTGAATTGTTTTGCTGAGTTCATGATTCATTTTTATTACAAATATAAACATCTGTAGACATATTTCTATTTGGTTGATAATGATCAATGTGATGAAAAAATTGTGAACAACTTTTGGAAAGACGCTTGTTTCACGAGGAGCATTTAAAACGCTGCAAACAGCTGCCTCTTCTATTTCTATGACTAGTGCAGTGCTGCAATTAGAGCACCTGCGGACACTGTGGGCTGTCACTTTTCTCTAAAGTAGACGTATCTCACCCAGAAACAGATGTTGGCCTCGTTGGGGATGGCCTATCATTAAGATAAGCAGCCTTTTAAAAGTTGTTAAAAAAAAAGGGTCTGAGCTTTTTTCTCCTCCAGGTTTTATGAGCATAACTCATAACTGAATTATCAGCAGCTGGAAATACCGTTATCCAGCTGCAACGACAACCAGTCCCGCTGCATGAAACACGTAAAAGAGCCAAAAACCATTTGCTCATAAATGTTCACGTAATGACAGAGATAAGCTCATCTCATAAAGCAATGAATCACAACTTGCTGCTTTTATCTGCAACGTATCCCGCTGTCAGATTTTACGACCCAGATGTTACTATAAATAAACTACCCAATGGTATATGACTTTTGCTATTTGTTCATAAATGTTTTAAGGAAATATTTTTCTCTCTTTGGGAGCTGGAAGAAATATATTTAAATAAATCAAATGGAGGGGGGGCTTGCAGCTTCTTAAATTTGTCTCATTAATAAACGAACTTGCTGCAGCAATATACCACCTTATAAATACTGATTTGTGTTTTCGTTTTTTTTATTTTAGGGGCAAAAAACCGAGGGATTGATTATCAGTGGGTAGGAGAGACGGGAGGTGGATGGGAGAGATGAAAGAGCCACCTGTGGCAGGTGAAAAGCAGGGGAGCGGCTGCCAATGAAGCCACTTCACTTCAACACTCACCCTACGCTCTCAGTCCTCGTGTCCAATGTGACAATATCACTTCACATGCATGCATTAAAACACACATGCACATGTGCACCAGCACACTTCCTGATATTCCTCAGCACAAACCGCTGAGGATTTTGAGTGATGTGTTATTTCTGGGGCTGCATAATGA